TAAGGTTCCTTTACGGTTGAAAGGAAAATTCTACGGTACCGCCATAAGACCCTTATTGATGTATGGTAGCGAATGTTGGGCGTCGAAAGGATAATATATGTCTAAAATGAGTATGGCCGAGATGAGGATATTGAGATGGATGTGCGGACATACAAGGATGGATAGAATTAGGAACGAGACTATTAGAGAGAAAATATGTGTAATAGGTATAGAAGAGAAGTTAAGAGAGAGACGTTTAAGATGGTTTGGACATGTACAACGTAAACCGGTGGATGCACCGGTTAGAAAAGTGGAGGGTATAGGAATGAGGGAAAAGAGAAAGAGAAGGGGTAGACCTAGACTTACTTGGGAACGTTTAGGAACGATTTGGAATTGTTACAAATCTCGAAAGAACTAACGCAAAACCGAAATGAGTGGAAATGAAGAATCCATGCGGCCTACCCTAAATAAACTTGGGACTAAGGCGATGTTGATATTGATGTTGATGATTAACAATTTAATTAATTAATATTTAATAAATTTAATATTATAAATTTATTAAATAAATTATATAAACTTGTTACCACAATGTTACATCCAGATTATGACGAAGCTTATTAGTACGTCAGTACGGCAAATCCCAAAAGATACTTCGTTTATACCAATTATGGTACTCACCATACTCATGTGATTTGTATGCTCGTTTCCTCCACATTCAATTGTTTTTTACACGCCATAAATGCATCGATAAGCTCGTACAATATTTCATCTCCCGTCAGGAGAAGAGGCATTGGATCAGTCATAACTTTATTCCGTCTAAAATTTTTTCTGTTATGCCTCCATGGATGATCCAATGGTAAAAATTTGCGGTGACAATCTAACCAACATGGTTTTCGCCCATGTTTTAATTGGAATGAATCAATCTCATCCATGCAATAAGGACATGCTAAACATCCATGAGTACTCCACCCATACAAACATTCAATAAGCCGAAAAATCACTAATAGTTGACATCAACACCGCTCTCAAGTCGAAGTTTTATCTTGTTGAAACATCATATGCATCAACACCTTGTTCCCACAACATCAATAATTCATCAATCAAAGGTTGGAGAAAGATATCAAAACTCTTTTTCGGATGATTCGGTCCCGACAGTAATATCGTCAAGAATAAAAACTCTCTTTTCAAACACATTTCTGGCGGTAGATTATACGGGGATAACACAATTGGTCATAACGAATATTGTTTCCCAAATTGATCATACGGTACAAATCCATTGGTGCATAAACACAGATAAACATTTCTAACCTCACAAGCAAAATCAGGATATAGGTGGATAAAATGCTTCCATCACTCACCATCTGATGGATGACGCATGTTTCCTGAATCCAAAACATGCTCTCCATGCCAACGCATCTGAGGTGTTGTCTTGTGAGAATCGTGTAATCTCTTCAATCTGTCTGCTATAGGCAAATAAAACATCCGTTTATATGGTACTCTTTTATGTTGTACATTTTTCCTGGATTTGAATCGATCTGTTCTACAAAATCGACAATGGATGATTCGGTCCCGACAGTAATATCGTCAAGAATAAAAACTCTCTTTTCAAACACATTTCTGGCGGTAGATTATACGGGGATAACACAATTGGTCATAACGAATATTGTTTCCCAAATTGATCATACGGTACAAATCCATTGGTGCATAAACACAGATAAACATTTCTAACCTCACAAGCAAAATCAGGATATAGGTGGATAAAATGCTTCCATCACTCACCATCTGATGGATGACGCATGTTTCCTGAATCCAAAACATGCTCTCCATGCCAACGCATCTGAGGTGTTGTCTTGTGAGAATCGTGTAATCTCTTCAATCTGTCTGCTATAGGCAAATAAAACATCCGTTTATATGGTACTCTTTTATGTTGTACATTTTTCCTGGATTTGAATCGATCTGTTCTACAAAATCGACAATTTGATAATTCTTTATCATCTCCAGACCAAAAAATCATGCAGTTGTTCTGGCATACATCAATTTTGATAGCCCTCATGCCTAATGATCCCATGAGTTTAGACATAATGTAGAAAGAATCAGGAGCATGGTTACCTCCAGGAAGATAATCGGACATCATCTGACATACTGCGTCCATACAATTTTCCGTCAGATTGTAACTCGACTTCATGCCCATCATTCGTGCAGAAAGAAATAATTGGGATAATCATTCTATGCGTCCATCATATATCGGTTGATTCCCTGCCTCCAACAAATCAAAAAGCCTTTTTGATCCTTGTTATAACAAAACTGAGAAGAGAATGCATCTTGAACCATATCAACGTAACGGTTAGTTGGTTCGCTGCTCCCAACAAATTTGTCGTTAATGGTAGGAACATTAACAACATCGAGCGTTTCACTGTGATAAACTCAAATATAATAATTTGGAACAAAACCCCTTTTGAATAAATGTTTTAGTACCACCTCTGGAGTAAGAAATTTAGAATTCTCACATCGTGCACACGAACAATAGATTTTACCAGTTCTTACGCACTGATTCTGACTTGTCGCAAATTGCATGAAATTCTGCAACTCTTCTTCATATTGGATGCTCAAATTTCCCGTAGATGCATCGATTCTCTCGTATAACTATCTTCTAGAGTAATAAATATTGGATGCCATGTCGTGTGTTAGATTTTATAAATTTTTTGAAACTTGAAGAGGAAAGAACGATAGCGAGAGTTTTATAAAATTATTTTGCAACGCAATTTCTTTGCTAACATTGAGATTTTGCAACGAAATTGCATTGCAACATTAATAACCGGTTAATAACTATCCTCATGTAGCAACGAAACTGCGTTGTAAAATCTTAAATTAGCAACGAAATTGCGTTGCAAGAATATTTTGCAACGCAATTTTTTTGTTAACATAAAGCAAAATTCTGATACCGCTGAAATTTCGTTACTATCGCCATTAGCAACGAAAATTTCGTTCCTAGTTAGCAACGGAATACTTTTTGTGGAAATTTTGTTTCAAAACGTTTATATTTTCTAACGAAATTTTTGTTGTATTTAGTAACGAAATTGTTTCCGTTGCATGTGCATTGTGAACTGTTTATGTTTCGTTGTAAAAGTGTTGCAAAATTTTCGTGCATTGCTAGTTTGCAACGCATTTTTTACGTTTCTAAACGTTGCAAAATCGTTGTGGAAACGTTGTGATGTCGTTGCTTAGTAATTTTGTTGCAAAACATTGCGAAAGCGTTGCAAAGTTAGCAATGAAATGAATTTCGTTGCAAATTTCGTTTCAAAATCGATGTTTTTTTGTAGTGTGGGTCTTTAAAAAGAAGATGAAACGAATGGTTCTATTGAAAAAATACAACGCAAGCCTTGTAGTCAAAGGCTATAGACAGACCGAAGGAGTCGATTACTTCGATGTTTACTCTCCAGTCGCTCAGAAAACATCCATAAGGCTTATTATAGCCTTGACAACTTTACATAATCTAAATTTGCATCAGATGAATGTAAATACTGAATTTCTAAATTGTGAACTAGAAGAAGAAGTATACATGTTTCAACCTCAAGATACAAAACGGTTATATGTTATCTCAAAGTCACTATGTGAAACAAATCTTAGAGAGATTTGATAAAGATGGAAATTCTGAGGCCAAAACTCTAATTGATGTTCATTCTCATTTGAAAAAACATCACGGTGAAAGAGTTCAACAATTAGAATATTCGAAAATCATAAGAAACTTAATGCATCTTATGAATAATACAAGACCTGATATTGCTAATACTGTGAACAAGCTTAGCAGATATACGAGCAATCCAAGTTTGGATCATTGGAAAGCCATAATTAGACTCCTTAAATATCTAAGGTACACTGAGAATTATGTGCTGCACTACACAAGATATCCAACAATATTAGAAGGATATTCTGATGCGAACTGGATCTCAGACTCGAATGAGAATAAATCCACGAGTGGATATATATTCGTTGTCGGTGGAGGTGTTATCTCGTGGAAATCTTCCAAGCAAACATGTATTGCAAGATCAACTATGGAATCTGAATTCATAGCTTTAGACCTTGCTGGTTAGGAAGCTGAGTGGCTTCGAAATTTTCTTGAGAATATTCCTATATGGCCTAAACCTATGTCTGGAATTTGCATACATTGTGATAGTCAGTCTCCAATAGGAAGAGCAAAAAGCCATACTTATAATGGAAAGTCGCGACACATCCGCAGACGACACAATTCTGTCAGAAAATTAATGACAGATGGAGTAATATCTATTGATTTTGTGAAATCAAAAGATAACTTGTTTGATTCTCTAACTAAAGGCCTTAACAGAGATCAGGTAGAAATATTATCGAGGGGAATGAGATTAAATCCCATAGAATGACAAACCACCATGATGATAATCCAACCTATCTGGACAAACCACCAGTGTTAGGTTCAATGGGAAAACTGAATTGTGGGGGGTCGATGTGATCACTCGAGACAGATGTCTCTTCACATTCATATGATCAGAGTGATATAAATTGGTAAGGTTGAGTTTATTCTCTTAAAGATTCTTTTATCTCCTATATTATTAAAGAGAAATCTCCTATATTAAGTATGAAGTGAGTCACTTCTATAAGAATGACAAAGTGGTTAGTTCCCTGGAGTACTTGATGAAAACTACCAGGTGTTGTCCCAGAGCCGTAATGAGCGCAACAAATGAACTAATGAGAGAGAAAAAGAATGCTGCGTGAGTATTGTTGTCTTGATGTACACAAAAACTGAACAGTTCAAGTTACCGCGTTCACTGTCTAGCAAGTACATCCGATAATATTTCACTATGAAAGGTTCAAAGGTAAAACTACCTTTCCGAATATAGTACAATCTCAACGGGCGAGCTTTGCATTACATATCATCTGCATACAGTGCATTAGTTGCATGAGATGCATTTATGTTTCATCTAACCCAAGGCCCTATTTTGATTCTTGTGGGGGGGTTGTTTGATTTGAATTTATTTGATAGAATCAAAATGGATCTAGCCCGTGAGAAATCTGGTCCATGGAAGGTTCTAGAAACCTTGATGGAAAAGCTGCAGATTAATGAGAGAATATTCTTGATTGATTGCAAATTCAAATGGTAATAAAATCTGCAGAAAATCCATTGATTATGGTAAATATCAATCAAAATAATATCAAATTGGAATCTGATTGATTCTACACATTAATGTGAGATGCTCCATCCATTAGTATAATTAGAGATCTTGGTTAGATCATTTGACACCCACATACCACAAGAAAAAGAAAAGCATTGATGATACACATATCTGCTCATATCTCTCTCTGAGTTCACTTGGTATTCTGGAAAGCTTCTCCAGAATACGCGATCGTTGTATCCTACGAGTTCACTATACTCTAATAACCTCAAAGCTTTAGAGGTGGCATGAAAATCAAACTTAAAGAAACTGTGTTTGATAAGCCTCAACAATAATCTTTTATTGTAGGTACTTATCTGAATCGTTCGAATTGCCGGAGTTTTGCCGTCGTCAACAACCGACGTCCCCAACAGAAGCTTGGTAAAATGACTCCATACATTCGATCTAGTTGGAAATATCCTCTTTGCTTTCGGAGATTCTTTTCTTTTGTCACCAACCGATTCTCCGACCTTAACCAATTCTGAATTTTGATTTTCTATCTGTGAAACAAAAATATAGAGTTAAAAATCAACAAATATAACATAAAAAAATAAAAAAATCAGAATCAGAAGTTTTTTAGTGAATACAAAAAAAAAATCAAAATCAGGAGCCTAAAAAATTTCTTAACCAGAGGCAGAGACCGCGATTGTTTATGGAGAGTCCGAGAAGGAGATTGGCAACGGCGAGAGGAGCAAATCGGCGATAGATTCAGAGACCGAGAACCAGAGGCAGAGATCGACGACACTCGACAACAAAAAGCTTAGCTTAGGAAAGAAGGAGATTGGCAATGGTAGAAAGATGACGGACATGAGAAGGAAACTCGGCTTCGGTCAGGAAATCTCGACGGAGAGAAGCCCTGAGCTCGACAGAGAGGAGAATCCCAGAGCTCGACGGAGAAGAGAAGCTCATGCCTCGTCGGAGAGGAGAAACCAAAACTCAGAGCTCGACGTCGATGGAGAATCTCGGCTCTCGGGTTTGAACAGACAGGGGAAACAAAGAAGTAGAGGGTTGGTTTAGCAGAGCAAGAGGTGGACGGAGCTGGGCGAAGCATACCAAGAAGAAACTCGACAAAGGGAGACTGCAAAGGTATGAGTCGAAAGAGAGAAGAGAACAGATGCAAAATGATTAACCCTAATTAATTATCATAAGTTTTAAGTTTTAATTTTGGTTTAATTGGATAACTGAATCCAATCGATTATTTACCCGAACCGAACTGATCCGTTCGGTTATGGGGATATACTAACCGGTCGGTTATTAAGCAAAATCTGAACCGATCCGAAACCCGATTAATCAGTTCGGATTTACCCGAATCCGATTAATCCGATCCGGATGTCCACCCCTACTTTAGACTGCATCTTATGAATAGGATGACCGTTTCGAACTGAATTGTACCGAATCGAAAATTTCGATATTTTTCTGAACCGTATCTACATAATGATCGGAATAATGTTCTTAGAGCTATAAAAAATGAAATAATGATCACCAAAAGCTCATGAAAATCCCCTTGCATAAAGAATTTGATAACGAAAGCAGTTTTTGAAATTTTTACCCGGAAAGAAAAGAAAAACGACGATGATTCTTTGTTATATGATCGTACATTGTTACGTGGCATTTTCAGAATAAAACAATATATGTATATATATATATTTATATATTGCAAATTATATAAATATTTTGGCACACTTTACAAAACACATACTATTTTGCACAATTTGCAAATTGCCCCTTCCATTATTTTAATTCAAAAGATACACAGACCAATAGATTGATGATGATGATGGTGGTGGTGGTAAAGCACTGAACAACAATTATTTCAAAAGTAAATCATACGTCCCTTTCTTCTCCCACCATTCTCTCATCAAATCGAAGCCCAAAGCTCTCTCTCTCTCTCTCTCTCTCTCTCTCTCTCAGCAGAGCGTTAGGAAAATGCAAGATCCACGCGATGAGCTGATTCCCCCTCCATCTTCCCCCACCATCTCTTCCCTGTCTTCCTCCGATCTCGATACAGAGGTCAGTCCCCTTTTCCGTTTCTCTGCTCAATTTCTTCTCCTGTTTTCTAGATTCTTCTGTCTTTTCCCTGAATCTGCAAACATGGTTGGTTGGTTTCAGAGATTGAATCAGATCGGTCTTTTTTTCGATTATGTTAAATCAATTTCTCTTTGTGTGCTTACTGGTAACGAGGATAGTCCACAGGATCCTTCTTCCATGACAGAAGCATTACACTTGGAACACTCATGGGCGTGAGTTTCACCGCCATCGCCTTCCAGCGCCACGTCTCTCCCGCCGTTTCCGTCTCACGCGCCGCCACCCGCCGCCCCAACAAACGCCCCTCCTCTGCCGCCTCCGAACGCCACCGCGGCCGCAAGTGGTGGCGCCTATGCAGAGACAACGACGACGACGACGGAGGCCGTCGTCCCTCGTCGCTCGGAGAGTTCCTCGAGGTGGAGAGGAGGTACGGAGATGGTGTATTCTACGGCGGTGCAGAGTCGCGCTGCCGGGAACCATCGGCGGCGGCGAGGGGTGGACGGGAGCTATTCGCCGATGGCAGGGTTCTTCCTCCGGCGGTGGACACCGGAGAAGAGACGCCGGAGGCTTCGGGTATCTGTAGATTTTCGGTTTCACTGACCAGTATCTGTAGCGGCGGCGGATGAATTCCCCGGCAGTTCATTTCATTTGATATTTTTGTTGTAATATATTTCAATATTTAATTTAACCAATTAATTTCAAAATGGAGATTATAGCTTTTCCCTTTTCTTTTTTTTAATTAAAAATATTAAAAAAAAAGGAGAGAAAACTTCGTAGGACCCACCACCAATTACCAAAGACAAAAGGACAATAAGCTACAAAAACGAGGAATTTTCATGATATGTGTTTTTGGATGTAAACATATGATTACTGCTGGTGATAAGTTTCTAAATTTAATCAATTTGTATCAAGATGTTATGGCGATATTTAAACACCATTATATGGTGTTTATTGGATCAAATCAGGATATTTATTTGTCCATTTAGAAATTGAAATATTTATTTGATATATTTAAACAAATTTTGGTAGATTTATAAAAAAAAATTCATATTATATCATATTTATAGTAATATTTGTGAGTGTGCTTTACTTTTAATATATGAATGAAAACTAAGATGGTAACTTCTGGGGTCAAAGTTCTTTATATATCTGTTGATTATAATGAATGTACAAAACCATACATTTGGGTTTAAATGTCAATCAATTTTAAGGATAAATTAAAAAAAAAATTGTAACCATGTGAAAAACATTCTATTTCAAAATTTTTATAAAAATCTTTAGATTTTGAAAAAAAATTATACAATTCTAAATATCATACTAAAAACTCAATATTTATATAAATTTATCATATTGTAATACATAGAATTTATATAAATATTTATAAACATCATGTTTTACATAATAATTTTTTTATACAAATTTATACTTAAAATTAAATATATTTTATTGATTACAAATTTTTTGTTTAAAATTTTATAATCTATTAATATTTACGATGTTACAAACTATCAATTTAATTTTTTCTTAAAAAGTAATAATTGAAAATATATATATAATGTATAATTTTCATGAAGATTAATTATATAAGAGGTCATATATATCATCTAAAGTAAAATAAAAAATATGGTTTATTTTGTTTAAAAGAAAAAGTTGACAATTTTTATAATAAATTTAAAATAGAATGTTTTTAACAAGTTCGATATTTATTATTTTTAAAATTTCCTAATTGATGTATTTTTTATGTTAAATTTAAACTAGAAGGTTATTCTTGTGTAAGATAACTAGTTAATTGTTTTTAATTTAACTCTTAATTTAATTTTAATTTTGTAATTCAATTGCAATAAACAAAGGCACGACCAAGTTGAACAATATATACATTATAGTCACAGACACACGTGGTATGTAGGCCTCTACACACTTGTAAAAGAAAGCAGCATCCTAAGCGATTAATAAAAAGGAAAAAAAAGGAAATATATTTTACGTACACACAATATATATTTACGGTCACTTCAGCATGCTCACCATCATGCCTCTCATATCTCATGGTTTGATGAAGTGGAATCTGCCGCAGCAATATATAAAAGAATATTTGCAAAATGTACAAAAAAAAAGTAAAGAATACTTGCAAAGTATGCCAAAAGAAGATTTTTTTTAAATAATTTTAATAATACCCAATGGTAACCGATCAAATCAAGTGAAAATCTCCCTCTATTACTTTATCTCTCTCCAAAAATTTTCAAACTATCTCCGTCTTCGAATTTTTGGTGAAAAGACGATTTTACATATTTTCGTGATTCCATTGCATTATATAGTATATTATCAATAAAAATGATATTCTTCCTAATAATAGGTACAAACAATTACACTATACAATTCAAAAATATGTGTAGAACATAAAAGTAAATTCGCAAACACACAATGCACTGTCTTACCCTATTTTAGATACATAGATTTATTTCAACTCTCACCAACGTTTTACTTCTTTCCAATTTCTCTACATATTTTCATAAATATGTGAGACACATCATACATTCAATACTCAAAACGAACGAAGAAGACAAAATATTAAATTCTATAACGTTGATACGTGAACTCAATAAACTTCTTCTTCTTCAGATCTTCCAAGTAGAGTTTGCAATTCTAAACTGCACGACAAGGATGATCTTAGCAATTTTAATCTTCTACTCAGTTGACACACACCTATCATTCAACTTGGTTAAACTCTTGTCGATTCCATTCATATCATAGTTCAAGACAATATGTCAAATCACGAACGGAATAGATAAGCATGTCCACCTCAAGATTTTTGTTCTTCTTACTGCCAAGTCGGTTAAGATCATCAAAATAACTCTTTATTTTGAGAATATCTGGATCAACAGAACACTCATTCGCCAGCTTACAATTCAGAAGGACACATAATTTTGAATCTCTCAGAGCGGGTTTTATCTCGGAACATGAACTTGAGTTGATCCATTATTACCCAAGAACTTATCCCGTCAAACTGTGTTATCAGTTGTCTGATAGGGCGTGGGTCAAAGCCCCGTAACGACAGAGCCTCTAATCTTTACTCAATTTCAGAAACAAGATCACAAGAAATCCTAGAACTGACAATCGATCGATCATATGATTGACATCCCTAACTATTGGAGAATATTTAAATATGAGTGACACTCAGGAAGAAAGGTTGAATCGAAGCCAATCACGGGTTTTGAAGGTGCTTCAACTTAACTTATGTGTGAAAAAATAGGGGATCGGTGGCACCATAAAAAAGGATGGACAGTCCTCATTGTTGAAGTAAAAAGTGAGGAGGAAGCAAATGAACAAGTCAAACACGTCATTGAAGACCTTGATGGATCTGAAATTGAGTGGAACATCCCGTGGGCTGATTACGGAGCCAATATAGACTTCTAGAACCATAGAGACGTTGATAACAAGAGAGATATTAATGGGTAGATTTATTCTGTCTCCTTCTCGTGTTTCAATCAGACAATACTTGCAGATTTTTCGCCATTAGGTTTCTTCCTTCTTTTCTTATTTATGTACTGGAACTTCTTTTCCTATTTATGTACTGGAGTATCCTTGTGAATCTCATAACGAAGAAGATATCTTCTCCACTCTTTTCTTTCATACTTTGATTCTCTTGTTCTAATTTATCATCCCAACATTAGAATCTGTTTGCCTTCATGGTATCAGAGCTCTAAGGCATTTTTCATCGATTCTTTCTTCTGCAAACACTCTGTGTTGGGTTTTCTTTAAGTCTCCATGGTTTTGAAGGTGCTTCAACTTAACTTATGTGTGAAAAAATAGGGGATCGGTGGCACCATAAAAAAGGATGGACAGTCCTCATTGTTGAAGTAAAAAGTGAGGAGGAAGCAAATGAACAAGTCAAACACGTCATTGAAGACCTTGATGGATCTGAAATTGAGTGGAACATCCCGTGGGCTGATTACGGAGCCAATATAGACTTCTAGAACCATAGAGACGTTGATAACAAGAGAGATATTAATGGGTAGATTTATTCTGTCTCCTTCTCGTGTTTCAATCAGACAATACTTGCAGATTTTTCGCCATTAGGTTTCTTCCTTCTTTTCTTATTTATGTACTGGAACTTCTTTTCCTATTTATGTACTGGAGTATCCTTGTGAATCTCATAACGAAGAAGATATCTTCTCCACTCTTTTCTTTCATACTTTGATTCTCTTGTTCTAATTTATCATCCCAACATTAGAATCTGTTTGCCTTCATGGTATCAGAGCTCTAAGGCATTTTTCATCGATTCTTTCTTCTGCAAACACTCTGTGTTGGGTTTTCTTTAAGTCTCCATGGATTCTTCGCTGCCTAAGTTAATCCCTATTGTCCTCAATGGGGAAAATTACCTCATATGGTCGAAGACAGCAAGAACAACTCTCATAGGGCGTGGATTATGGAGCCATGTTCTCCGAGAAAAAGAACCACGTCCTACAGCGGGGACACCAACAACACCGGCAACCGAGTTGTCAGATGCAGAGCAGATGAGTGCGACAGAAACAACAACAACGACAACCCCTCTTTCTGATCCGATGGAAAACAAGTGGTTTCAAGAAGATCAGCAAGCCCTTGCCATATTGCAGAGCTCTCTCGCCCCTCAAATCCTTCACAATTACGTTCATTGTGAGACGACAAAGGCGCTCTGGGATAAACTCAAGTTGGTCTATGGAAATCTTTCCAACATGAGTCGGATCTATGAAATAAAAAAAAGCCCTATTTGTTGTTCAACAAAGCGGGCGTTCGTTTGATGCGTGTCTTGGCGAGCTCAGTAGTTTGTGGGCCGAATATGAGCAACTTCGTCCACACACATCGGATTCAGAAGTTATCGCCGAAAGACAGGAGCAGGATAAGGTATTTTTTGTTCTATCTTGTTTAGACGGTACTTATGGAGATCTTGTCATGTGTTGAGGCAGAGCACGCTTCCCTCCATGGACGGAGTCTGTATGTTAATCCAGCGTGAGGAAGGAAGCCGCAGCCTGTTTCGTGGATCTCTCGACATTGCTCATCTTTCCCAACAGAAGTCTTCGTCCCACTCTGATACATCAAACTCAGAATATGCAAACATGGCTCAAAAACACTTCAAGGAGAGGAAAACTGTTGTTTGTGAACATTGCAAGCGAGCGGGGCACGATAAAACAAAGTGTTGGATACTACACCCACACCTCAAACCTCATAAGTTTCGAACTGCCGATTCTCGTCCGAAATCGACGGCTTTCCTCACACAAGATAGTGTTGACGCCTTAATCCAAGATCTACAGTCTGTGAATAAAGATACCGGTAACAAATTACTAAACTCTCTTATTGTTGATTCTGGTGCTACGAACCATATGTTTTCAAACGCAAAATGGTTTAAAGATTTACAAAAAGTGGTTGGCTCAGTTTCGGTTGCCAATGGCAACACTATACCTATCGAAGGAAAAGGAAATATTGAGTTGTTTAATAAGTTGATCAATGCTTTGTATGTACCTGAGTTTAAAACCAATCTTCTCTCAGTACCTAAACTTACAAAGGATTTGGATTGTTCGGTTGTGTTCGATGCTAATGGTGTGTGTTTTCAGGATACTAAGACAAAGGTGACTATAGGCAAAGGCATTCTCAAAGACAATCTATACATTCTTGATCATTCGCCTACCGTTTCTGAACAAACCTTCAATGCATTATGGCATGCTAGATTAGGGCATCCTCACTCTAAAGCTTTGA